GGGTAAATTCCCCAAGCAGCCATGACCTTGTGAAAGTTTTGGAGAGAGCTTGTCAAGCAGACCTCTGGAAAAGTGGCGGCAGCTACCAGCCAACATTTGACACGGAAGGAGGACTGGCCTTGTGTTTCTAGCCCTCCAGGCTCCCGCCCACATCAGCAGTGTGAAGGGCTCCCTGAGATCCCCGAGGCCAAGGAACAGGCCTCCCCACCCCGCCCACATAGCTAAGTCCTTGCCCAGCCCTGCGGAGCCAGAGTAGCTGAGGCTGGAGATCAGAGGGCAGGTTAGGCCCTGACCCAGGCGGACCTGCCCCTGGGGTGGTTCATGAGCTGACCATCTGGACAGCCCTTCTAATGTTCTGTCACAGTGGAAAACAAGACTGCACTCAGAAGCTCCTGAGCCTCTTTCTCAGCTGTAAAATGGGATTGTCATGAGGATGACATTTGATCATATAAATCAAAATAAATTTGTGTATTGAGGATAGTGATTCCTGTAGTAGTGAGTGTGAGGAGGCAGGGTCGGATAGTGAGCAAGAGCCAGACTGGGGGTGGCCTTTCTTCACAGCCCCTGTACAGAGTAGGAATCATACAACAGAGAGATTTGTGGAGTCCAGGGAGAGCACTGTCCACGTTTTTTGAATAATTAAGAATGAGCTTCCTTTGGAACATCTGGCCCAGATGTTTTATTTGATTGCTTTTTAATTTTTACGTCAATCAAAGTTTCAAACATGCAGCATTCAGGACATCTGCTGGCATTCCAAGGCCTGTGGTTCTGCAGGTGATGTGCTAGAGTTGGCTTGTACTGGCTTGTGAGAGCCTACTGTTAAATTTTTAGGAATTTTGAGAGCCAGTTGTTAAAGACCACCTTTATTAAAAATTCAATTGCATTAAATTAAATAGAGTAAAAACAGAGGTACTAAGTATTAAAAAGTCATCACTTCCTAATTGTTTTGATACAGTCTGTGTCCTTGCAGTTATTTATGTCAATGATGTCTGTAGAGTGGAAATATTATATAATGGTGTGCTTACTGCTAAGAGTCTCTTCTAACTCTGTATTTCCTGACATCAGTTCTTTAGCCTGAGATTAGTGAGGGTGGGAATATTTACACTACTGAAAATGGTGACCCCTACAAATTCAGGTCTTTCCCCTGGAAACGGAGTTGTTAAACATTTCTGTCACCCCTGCCTGGAGCCTCATCTCCTGTTCACTGTGCTGAACCCACAATCCCTATTTCTTAAAGATAGTGGCTTTCATTTGCCTTAACTATTCCTTTTTTATTACTCCTCTATTTCTTTCTTTTTCTTGGTACTGGGGATTGAACTCAGGGGCACTTAACCACTGAGCCACATCTCCAAACATTTTTATATTTTATTTAGAAATGAGAGACAGGGTCTTGCTGAGTTGCTTAGGGCTTTCCTAAATTGCTGAGGCTGGGTTTGAACTCCTGATCCTCCTGCCTCAGGCTCCAGAGCCACCAGGATTATAGGCATGCGCTACCACGCCCAGCTCCCCTATTTCTTGATTAGGTGCCTTTACCTTTACCCCTGTGTGTAGATTTTTTTTTTTTTTAACTTAAGCATTGCTTATTGACTTCCTATTATGGGAAATGAGACCTGGTCTTCTCCTGCTCGGCCACCCTCCACCGGCCACCCTCTACCGTACACAGGCTCACCCTCCTGCTGCTGTGTTCCCAGCACAGTAGAGCACAACTCTTGTTTAAATAAATATTCAGGATTTACATTATTTCAATTATGTAAATATTGTACATGAATCATTATGCTCTATGATTACATTAGCTTTTGTAGACAACATTTTCCCCCTGAAGTTAATAATTACATTTTTAAATTTGCTTCGTTTCTTTATGAAAAAAAAATGGTTTTCTAACTTTTCTTTTCTTTTCAGCAGTAGAACTCATCTTCCAAACAAAATGTATTACCTGCTGTAATAAATAGGAAATTCAGAGCCGCCAGGTGGAAAGGGGGTCCTTCCCTTCAGGCTGCCAGTTATAGCCAAGCAGACAGTGCTGCAGAACTCTTAGGGATGCTGCTCCCCTGAGCAAGAATGTGGTTCCCGCGTGAGAGTCCCCTGCACCGCCTCATTAGGGAATACGTCCACTGTGTAAAGTAGCACGGTGCCAGTCTCATGCTCTGCTTTAGATGCTCTCCTCCCCCCCCCCCCAGCGTGGGGCTCTGGTCTCTGCTCCTGCTTCTGCATTGGTCCCAGTAACGTTGCTGAGTCTGCCTCTCCAGTGCATCACCCGCAGGCTGCTGGCTTGACACTCCTGTTAGCTGATGGCCACCTATCGACTGAGTCGGTGCCCCTCAGATTTGTCTGGGCTGGGCTGGGTGCCAAAAGCTTATTGCAGACAGTTTAGCTCGGAGAGCACTCAAAGGCATAAGGAATGGCTCTGCGAAAGTAAGTAAGCTCTGGAAGGAGATGATGCAATATCTGTCTGGCCGTGGCAAGTCAGAGCTGGAGGAGAGGAGCTGGCCGATATGAGCAGTGGAGTTTGAAAAGCTCACTTTGGGAAATCACACCTGTGTGGGAGTCCCAACTTTGCTTTCAGCTGGTGGATCTTGGGAAAGTTACTGAACCTCTCTGGGCCTTAACTTTCCTTGTGCCTAATTCACAGGTTTGTTGTGAGAGTTAAAGAAAATGCACTATTCTAATAAATCCCAGCGTCACATGTGGCTCTGTCTCTGCTTCAAGTCACATTTAAAAAGTCTTGGTCTGCCAGGTGTGGTAGCACATGCCTATAATACCAGCAGCTTAGAAGGCTGAGGCAGGAAGATTGGGAGTTCAAAGCCAGCCTCAACAATTTAGCTAGGCCCTAAGCAACTCAGCAAGACCCTATCTCTAATCTCTAAATAAAATATAAAAAAGGGCTGGAGATGTGACTCAGTGGTTAAGTGCCCTTGGGTTCAATCCCCAGTACAAAAAAAAAAATAGTCATTGTCTAACAGCCCAACAAGTATTTGGAAAAATATTCCAATCCTAACTGCATGCATCCCTTATGGAATATGGAAAAGGATCTCATCATAATGGAGGGTAAAATTCCCCTACATCTTTCTTCCATTCTTGAATTTTCCCAAAACATACAGTATAATAATGTCCTCCTGGCCCAATTCAGGAGGTTTCTCCTCTCTCTCATACCACTCCAGACATGGTTTATTTTGTTTTGTTTTGTTTCTTTGCACTGGAATTTAACCCAGGGGCACTTTACCCCTGAGCCACATCCCCAGCCCTTTTTAGTTTTCATTTTGAGACAGGGTCTTGCTAAGTTGTTGAGGCTAGCCTGGAACTTGAGATCCTCCTGCCTCAGCCTCCCAAGTTACTGGGATTACAGGTGTGGGCCTCAATGCTCTGCTCCAACCGCTTTGGTCTACGGATCCTGCCACTGCTGTGTCCCAGAAGATCATACCTAGACCTGATAACACAGGCAGGAAGAGGGTGGTTCCGCAGGGCCCTCACTCTGAAACCACTCTTGGCTGAGCACCTTGGAGTAGCCAGACTATTGTCTTCCTCTTAGTTTTTCAGACAAGAAGACTACAGGAGGGTGAGGCCCCACCCCTATTAGCAGTGGGGCAGTGAGAGGAGAAACTTTGTCTTCTCCCCTCTGAATCCTCCCAAGACATCATGTCTGGAAGACCTAGGGAATGGAGGCGGCCTCCGCCTCTTTCTCTGCCACCCTGACAGTCTTTCTTGGGAGACCAGATCTTCCCATCCCTTGTTCCATCCTTCTGGGGACTCCTCCTGCCCCCCAGGATGTCTTTCAGTCACCTACTGGGCACCTACTGTGTGTGAGCCCTATAGGGAGCTGCAGATCCAGAGACAAAGACAGACAGACTGCAAACAAGATGCCCCTGTGTTATGTTGCAGGGAGGCACTGAGAGAGCATGGCAGGAAGCTTGTTACCCACTGAGGAGTCAGGGGGACTTCCTGGAGGAGGTGTCATCTCACCTGCACAAGAAAGACCACTACCATGTACTGAACATTTGCTATGGTGATTAGCACTGCACCAAGCTCTTTGCTAAGCACATTAGTTTATCTCATCTGCGTGGCAATGCGAAGAAGTAGGTTGCTGCCAACCCTCATTTTAGAAATGAAGTTCTAAATGGAGAGAAACTCATTGGCTTTCCCAAGGATGCACATTTAAAATGTATCAGAACTGAGATTCAACACAGGCCTGTTTACTCCAAAGACTGTGCCTTCAGCCACAGGGCACTGTGCACAGGTGCTCAGGGTGCATACTGCACAGGGGGCCCGTTGACAGTGAAGATGGAATAACTTATACCAATGAGTGTATGGGTGGACCCCGAGATTGGGCCTCTCTGCCGGGTCCCGGAGCAGTCAGAAGGAGCCTCCTCCTGATCCCAACCTGAGCGTGTCAGCTTCCCTGGTGCCGCGGGAACAGTAGGTGTCCAGGTGTGTGAGTGAGTGAGGAGCCAGGGCTGCTGGACTTGGTGGTCCCAGGGGGTCGTGATCTGATCTTCAGGTGCTTTCACTTGAGGAAGGGGTGACTTGCACAGGGGTGTCCTATCCTGCTCTGTAGCCTCCACCACCATTGAGAGCGTCTGTCAGGGAGGACACAGCCTCAGGGCGATGCCCAGCAAGGACCAAAGAGACAGAATGTGGATGGTGGGTCCTCAAAGACCTTCCAGTCTCATCAAACCCACCAGTAAAGTTGCCCTGAGAAGAGCAGCAGGAGAATCCCACAAGGGAGTGTCCCAAACCACCTGGAGATGGGGCCATTGGGATTCCAAAGAAAGAGGCAATAAGTGCCAGGCGACCTTCTTCATGCCTGGGAATGTCAAAAGCCCTGGTGCAGGTTCAAGCTGCTGGGAGAACCTGCGGCTGTCAAAGAGCTTTGATTCAGGGTCAGGAAGGAAGTAGGGAGCCCTGGGGGGCTCCCTCATTTGAGAAACCCAGAAAAAAGGCTTTCCTCTCAGGGCCACCCTGGGGCCACCCAACTAACCCCTTTCCTTGGTCTTTCTCCTCTGCAGACAGGAAGGATTGAGCCCAACTACCCCAAGGTGTGCGGCCACCAGGGCAACGTGCTGGACATCAAGTGGAACCCGTTCATCGACAACATCATCGCCTCCTGCTCTGAGGACACTTCGGTGAGCGGGAGGGTGCTCCCCAGGAGGGTGCTCCCCAGGAGGGTGCTCCCAGGAGGGCCCCTGAAGCCCCTCCTTGCTCTCCTGCCTTCTCAGGAACCACAGTGTGGGGAGGAAGTCAAAAAGGCTGAGGGAGTGAGTCCAGGGCACTTGGGACTGATCTCGTGGCTTTAGTGTGATCGAGTTTGGAGGTGTTGATTTTGTAGGTGAGAATTAGAACAACAAAAAAAATTAGGTGTGGGCTTCAGCCCTGGGCTGAGCGCTAGGAAGCGGGGGATGGAAATGCTGAGTGTCCAGGAGAAGAGCTCTGGTCTCTGGGCCTGGCATGGCATGTGCCCTGGTTAGTGCTCTGGGAACCTTGGTGTCTAGGCAAGGACACTGGGTGGGGACTATTGTGACTTATCCTAGGACCCACCCTGGTGAGACCCACTCCATGTGTCCCCCCACTCATGGGAAGAGAGAAGAAATAAGAGAAAGAAATTAGGAAGGGAGCAGGGTAGAGCCCAGGGGAGGGTGGGTCAGAGGTGGAGATGGGAGGGAAGGGAGGAGGAGATCATTGGGGAGGCAAGGAACCAGAGAGAGTGACAGTCACAACTGCCTGTGTCTACCCTTGGCTCAGACTCTGTTGCCTCTCACAGGTAGGGTAGAGTCAGAGAGGCTGGTGTGGCCTCCAGGTTCCTGGAGAGGGGATTCTGCTGTCCCCACGCTGCCTCTGAGCAGCATCCTCAAGAGGCAAGCAGGAGGGGATTCCATAGCCCCAGTGGAGCCGGGGCTCCCAATGAAGGAGCAGCCTCCCAGCCAGGCCACAAGCATCTACCTGGTGCTCATTGGCAGGACGGGGACCACATCCCCAGGATACTGGAACTGGAAGGAACTTTGGAGCTTTTGTCTTTCTATCTTTATAGGTTGGACTGTGAGCTCCTGAAGGTAGAGACCAGCCTAGGGCCCGGGACCTAATAAATGCTTATTGTGTATTCGATGGATGGGTGGATGGATGGATGCATGATGCATGGATGCATGGATGGATGGATGGTTGGATGGGTGACTTCACTCACTGATGGATAAAGAGATGATTGAATGGATGGATGATGGATAGATAAATGAATGCATAAAAGGAAGGATAATGGGTAATGGAGAGATGGATGAATGGAAAGATAAAAGAATAAATGAATGGATATGGTTTAAATAATTAATCATCCAAATAAAGAAAGAGAGTTTCATGCCAGTCATGGTGGCACATGCCTATGATCTCAGCAGTTTGGGAGGCTGAGACAGTTCAAAGTTCAAAGCGAGTTCAAAGCCAGCCTCAGCAAAAGCAAGGCTCTAAGCAGCTCAGTGAGACCCTGTCTCTAAATAAAATACAAAATAGGGCTGGGGATGTGGCTCAGTGGTAGAGCACCCTGCTATCCCCCCCTTCAATCCCCAGAACCAGAGGGAAAAAAGAGGGAGGGAGGGAGGGAGGGAGGGAGGGAGAGAGAGAGAGAGAGAGAGAGAGAGAGAGAGAGAGAGGGAGAGATTGATTCACAGTAAAGAGTCTCCATCTGTCCATAAAGTGGGGCTGTGGTCAGCTGACATAGCTGGACATGGGAGAATGGTGGGAAGGGGGCTGGGTGAGTGGGCTTGAGCAGCTCCTGATGTCAAAGCCTAAGTCAGCTGGAGAAGATCCCTGAAAGCAGCAGCAGTGAGGGCAAGGTCTCTGTGGATGGACAGAAGAAGGAGGTTTGAAGATTGTCAGGTTTTATTACTGTCTTTAGCAGCCTCAGAACCATGGGGGTTATGGGACATCAACCAGAGGCCAGACCAGAGAAAGACAGAGCTACCGAAGGGCAGGCATGAGGTGATAGAGCCCAGGAAAGGTGATGAAGCCAGGGGGACACTGGTTGCTTCCTGGCTAGGAAGGAGGCAGAAAACCTGGTTGGGGCTGGAGGGCTCAGTGGTCAGTGCAAGAAAGAGCAAGGCTCAGCTGGAGAGGGCAGGCAAAGGCACTGTCCCCCCTTCTCTCCTGGATACGGGAAGCTGCAGTGCCTAGATGGAGTGCAGTGACTGCACTGGGGTATTGAGTGACTGTCACCAGCCAGCAGGGAGCAGACTTTCCTAAACCTCTGGGCTCCCCACCCACTGTTGGCTGAGCACTTGACAAATGAGACAGTCTCTGCCACCCTCAAACTGAGGGTCTGAGGGCAGATAGAGCACCTAGCTAGGGAGTGGAGGAGCCTGTATTCCCCTGGGCCGCCACCTCCAGCTGTGTTCTTCCTGCTCCACCGAGTTCCTTTGCCACAGGATTCAGCAGAGCATGCTTGCTGGGAGCTCAGTGAGTCTCCCCAAGGGATCCAGCTGCGTAAGAGAAGAGCAGTGACCACCTTGGTGCAGGAGAGGGGCAGATTCAGCCTCAGCTCTTAGAATTGCTCCTCCCCTGGCTCTTCCCAGGTTACCTCTCCCCCTCCTCCTCCTCTCCCTCCTCCTCCTCCCCCTCCTCCTCCTCCCCCCCTCCTTCTTTTTGATACTGGAAATTGAAACCAAGGGCACTTAACCCACTTAACCATTGAGATACATCCCTAGCCCTTTTTATTTTTTATTTTGAGATAGGGCCTCATTGAATTGCTAAGGCTGGCTTTGAACTTATGATTCTCCTGCCTCAGCCTCCTAGTCTCTGGGATTACAGTCATGCATCACCTTGCCCACAGGTTACCACTTCTTTTGCCTGAATCAGGACAACATGGACCTGCCTGGTTCTAGCTCAGCACCTACCTCCCATGCAGAGATCCCAGCTAATGAACAGAATACCCAGGGTGTGTGTTCAAACATGCATGAGGCTCCGCCCTGGCCATAGGAGCCACAACACCTCTTCAGTTTTGCATACACCTATAGATCACACTGTACCCGACACCCTCCTGGTTACTGGGGTCCAAAGAGAGCTTAACTGTGGAATCTGATGGACCTGGGCTTAGATCTCAGTTTTACCACTTACCAGCTGGGTGGCCTAGGTAGGGCATGTGATTTAACCTCTCTGGGCCTTGGTTTTGCTCATCTCTGAAACTGTAATCATAATAGCCACCCTCACCTTGAGCACGTGGGAAAAGGGTACAAGGGTGTCTGCACCCAGCACTCTGCCTAGCACCTCATAAATTTCTGCTAATCTCAGGTTGCTTCAGAGACACTGGGGAGCCCTCTGCTGCCATTCACCCCGCTCGCCGAAATGCAATACAAAAGGAGGGCACTGTGTCCCTGGGGCCAAACACACTGGCAAGGTAGAGGATTAATCTTGACCAAGGTGCAGGGAGGAAAGTAGATCTAGAGAGGTAGACCTGGGAGAAGCGGGACTTTCACAAGCAGGAAACAGGTTAAAGGTGTCCCAGGCAGAGATTTGGCACAGGAGAAGGCCTGGAGGGAATGTATATGGTGGCTTGGAAAACAAAAGTCACCTGGCGTGGCTGGAGCCCTGGGGCGGCACACAGTGAAGAGAGTGGTCAGACAGCAGGATGGAAGGGGACACAGGGACTGAAGAGAAGATGTGGACGCAGCGATCAGCTGAACTTGGAAGGGACGCCTGTGCTTCTCAAGCCATCTGAGCACAAACCAGGGCCCAGGGACCAGAGGAGGGGAGTTAGGAGGAGGGCGGGGTCTTGGTGGCTCTGTGGAGGAGCCCCTGCAGACTGGGATTAGGATCTGTGGACCAGAGGGGAGCGGCCAGGCAGGGAGGGGCTCGCGGGGGCTGCTGATGCCGACTAGGAGATGAGGTCCTCTGAGCCAGAGGAGCTGGGCTTTCACTCCAGCTGCCAGGCCAGCTGCTCCCAGAGCCAGGCTCAGAGCCCCCCTTACCCCTCAGGTGTCTGCTCCGGAGCCTCAGGCAAGGGTCTTGTCATGGTAGCCCTGAGGCTGGAGCCCAGCGGCTCCTGAAGAAGGACAGGGTCTTTGCCACGCAGGTCCCCAACCTGCCCTCCTACCACGTCACCAACAGCCCTGGTTTTACAGGGGAGGAAACTGAGGCTCCGAGCCACAGCAGACTGAGAGCTCAGCTCCAGCACACACCCAGGATTTAAGCACAGCCTCGCCTCTGTGCAGGGCCGCGCTGGCCACTGGGGACTCATGCAGGGGAGGTCTCCCTGCCCCAGGCCTGGGCGCAGTGGGGGAGCCAAGCTGTGCTCCTGGCTGGGATCCTTTGATGGGTCCCTGAGACACCTCCTGTGACCCATTCTTGCCAGGATGGTCAACTCACTGTGCACCAAACACAACATCCAGAGCCAGGGTCGGGAGGCCAGTCAGCAAGGCACTGGGCCCCGAACCAGGGCTGGGGAGGCTCCGGCCCAACGGGGCCAGAAAAACCCTTGCAGCAGCCACAGCCTCCCCCAGGAGAGCCAGGAGCTGCTCCCAGCCCTCAACTCCTCTTGCACCTCAACACTGAACATTCAGAGGACAATGAAGGGTTCCAGCCAGCCCCCCTGCTCCCTAGCTCCTCTCCCAGCCCTGAGAAATCGCCTATGGCATGGGTCCCCATGTCCACCAGGGCAGGAGGAGGGCCTTGGAATCTAACCTCCATCCCTGCGGGATGCGTGGCACATAGCTGAGCCCCTTCTCAGGGGGCCACGTCCTGAGGGAAGGATGGGAGCCATAACTCTCCCTGGCATCTGGCAGAATCCAGTTCTTTCTGCCGCTGGGTGATGTCACCTATTGTTGAAGGGCTGTGCTTTTTATAGCTTCTGCTGCAGCTAGGGAGGGCGGCTGGCAGGCGGCAGGGAAAGGCGCTATCGCTTTCCAAGCCTCGTGCTCCCTCTTCTCTGGGGGGCCAGCAGCAGGAGGGGAGAGAGAGAGAGAGAGAGAGAGAGAGAGAGAGAGAGAGAGAGAGAGAAAGGTTTCTGACATCTCAAGGAGAAGGGGGGAATAGGGAGAGGGAGGGTCTTCCTTGTGGGCCCAGCTCAGCATCTTTCTTTTGCCTTGTCTTCAAGCTCCTCCATCCAGTGGAGACCGCCCCTCCCCAGGAGCTTGATGGGATGGGGCAGCATGTC